CTGTACTGCGCCACGTCGGCCTCAACCCTGGAGAGCGTTTCCTCCGACTTAATGACGACCTCGCCGTCTTCCACTAAGGCCTTCAGAAAACCAAGGTTCCCGATCGCCTGGTTGTAAAGCAGAAGAGTGGGCTGCGCGGCACGGGTATCCTCAACGTGAGCCTGTAGACGGGTGAGACGAGCCTGAAACAGCCGGGCCATCTTCGCAAGAGCTTTGCCCCTACAGTACTCGCCGTACTCAGCACGACGTTCTCGCAGTCTAGCCTTTTCGGAGCGGAGGATCACAGCGAGCTCGTCATACCGAGCCTTCTCTGCCTCCACCTCGGCGCTCAAACGGTTCCTCTCCGCAATCAGCCCATTCCGGTGATGATCGAGAAGGTTGACCTTCTCCCTAAGCTTCACCGCCTCGTCCTTAACAGCACCCAACTCTCGCGAGACTTGCTCTACCCGCTCCTTCTCCGCAGCAATGGCAGCCTGATAATCACTCGAATTCGGGTTCTCGGTCGAAAGCCGACGAACTCGGCGCTCGTAGAGATGAACCATGCGGTTCATCGCGAAAGTCGCCTGATAAAAATATGTATAAACAATCGACCGAGAAAGGATAACAAAAATATATATACACATATATATAGTAATAACCTCGCATGATTTCCGGGCCGCCTCGGTATACGCATCCCGCTCCCGAAGATCCTCGATTAGAGGGAACGAGCCGGGGCCATGACCCATCTCGCGGAATAGAGCAGCACAGGCATCCGCATTAGATGTAAAGGGAACATCCCTATCGACATAGCGGTACGACCACCGGTGGTCGGCGACCCGAGGCCTCTTCTGGGCAATCGGACGAGCCCCCGTATCAGCCGGCCTCTTCCTATTCAGAGGCTCGACTGAGCCACTTCGGGCTCCTACGGCCCGGAGATCGTCGCTTGGGGGAAGGATTACAGCTCGGTCACCCTCACCAGCCTGCTGAGTTAAACGAGCTGCGAGCGCCTCGTTCTTTTTTACCCTCTCGGAGTTAGGGCTCAGCGGTCGAGAACTTCCGGCCTGGAAGGCGTGACGCCCTCCCTGATCTAGGAGACTCTTCTTCAGGGCCTCCCTCATTTGGCGCTCCTCTGAGCGAGTTGGCTTCGCCACAGGAGTCTCCGAGGCCGGCCTCTTCTCCTTGTAACGACTGGCGTAATCCGGAACCACACTCAGGTCGAACTTACCCATTGCTTTACGACCTAAAAATCAAAAAATACGTATGAGCCAAGGGAACGAAAACCCGCGGATGCGAACGATATATGCGATACCTGGTTTTGGAGGAGCGGAAACTTTGGAACTTTGACGAGTTGGCCCGCGACGAGAAGAACCTCGGCGACCGCGTGAAGAATTCCGAGAGGGGCGGCGAGCAACTTTGTTGGTAGACGGCCAGATATATGTACCCTCGGCGCGAATCTTTTCGAGGTCCTTCTTGAGCTGCTCGGGAAATGGATCAAATATCGTCGGGAAACGAGCTGCATAAAAAAGGAAAATATAAGAAAATCGAAAACAACCAAAGAAGAAGTATGAGGGCGGAGGACGAGCTCAAGCTACCGGGTGAAATTTTCCACCCTGTATAGATCGGAATTCTAACGTCCTCAACAGACTCTGCCGAGATCCTAACAAAGAAGTATCCCGCCGACCAATCACTGGTTTTGCTCTTGGCCTCGTCGACAAGCTTAGGAGTCGTGGATGACTGGACGTAGTGTAAGCCCGGCTTTTTCTTGCTGAGGCTCTTAATCTTAGTCACCTCCTCGTAGTGAGAAGAACGAACAACCACGCCGCACCTGCTCGCCAACCGAACCAGGCCTACCGCATTCCGGATGGCAGCAACAGAAAGCTGAGAAAGAGCCATCTCCCGCCTCGCTACGTATTCAAGCAGGAAGCCCGGAATCGGAAAAGTGAGATCGCACTCCGTAAAGAAGCTCTCATAAACACAGAGGAAGCCGGCCGGAGCGGACCAAGGTCGCTCGGATAAGGCCGGGATGCGAGTCTCAATCGAGGACGGAGCGTCACAATAATGGAGGGTATATGCGAGGGTCTCAAATGACGTCCGGGTCGGCCCCAGGAAGTCAACGTGATAGGGAGACGGTCCGGGAACCCCGAAAGGCATCTCAACGAGCTCAGGCTCAACCTCCAGATCGTCAAACTTGACGTCACCAATATCCTCATCTCGGAGACTAGGAACGAACGGAACGATCGAGGTAGCCCCAATAAGATCCCGTTGAGAGGGCGAGTCGCGACGCCGCAGTTCGGCCGCGAGAATCGAGGAACCAGCGTCAGACGACCTCGACGAGTTCTGTCGACGAGGGGACGAGACGGCCTCTAGGTCGTCATCAAAAGAATTGGCCCGGAATCGATCAACGGATGATACACGATCCGAAGAATCAGATGGGGTGCGAGAACGGAAGTGGTCGGAAACGGAACCGCGAGAACTAGCGTCGGAAGACATCGCGATAAAACAAAAAAAACGAGATAAAACGAGAGAAAACGAAATAGAGAGGAGAAGGTTGTACCTTTAGCGGAGGAAGAAGAATGAGAAACGGACGAGAGAAGAGGGGGTATTTATAGAAGCGAAAGGTGATAAGTAATCATTATATCTACAAAATTGAGCAATAATTACGAGCTAGGATAGCTTCACACGCGAAGGGACGCTTCGATCTCCGAACACCGGGAACCACATCAGACGAATCGATCCTCGCGTCTCTCCCACGCGCGCGCGCCGCCGAAACTCGTTGCTCCGGAACGGCGCGAAGAAGGACGATCTCTTGCGTGTCTTGGGAAGGGAAAAACAATCATGACCCTCGCAGCACACGAAGAATCATGATTGGGGGGCAACTGTTGAGGGAGAGATTGGGCTTTAGAAATATAAGGCCCAATCCAAAGGAAGCCCATCAACGAGGCAGGCCTTAAACCCAAAGGTATCAAGGCCCAGACGACCTCGCCGCCCTACGGGTCTGCCACGTCACCAGACGCAAGGGTAAAACCGGTAAAACCTGTCAGGGTGCGCCCTACTCCGCAGAGGTATAAAGGCAGGACGACTAGTCCTGTCACATCCATCGAAAATCACGCTGACACGGCAAGGACACGAAGAGCTCGGCTAGGACACGAAGAGCTCGGCTAGGAGGCGAAAACCGATCTCAGTTTGGAAAAGGAAAGCGACCTCAAGCTTTGTTCAACTCGGAAAATAACCTACAGTTCGGCCTAATCAACGACCCGGATTCCTCAATCCGACGTCACCAATCTCGGCTCGCCTAACGCTATTTTAACTCTCGGCTCGAATTGTTTTAGGAGATTCTTTTTACTTCCCTAGAGAAACCCTATTTCGTACTTGTGTGATTCGTGCATCAACAACACCCTCCCAAGAACAGCAATCAATGGTCTTGTTCCATGAACTTAACGATGCATCATAAGGACTTGGGTTGGATTCATTTACCGGAAACTCGTGTTTGAACTCCAGAAGAGCATCCCTTTGGTCATGGCGGCAATAGCGAAACGTAGGAGAAGCAAGAGTGTCTGGAACGAAGGACACCAAGAAGAAGAAATATATGGTAACAACACCAAAAAAGGAACAAGATTGGCTTGGAATCATCGTTACCTCTTTTTTTTTTTTGTGTTAGAAGTTTGTGTGGTAGTTTATAGGTTATGCTGATTATGGTTTCTTTGGCTCTGTTTAAAAAGCAAATGAAGAAAACTCAGTTGTTTTTGACTTGGGTAAGTCTTAGCGTAACTCGTCGGATTGAGGTTGATTTTGTCAACTCTTTTAATGCTCTCTTTGACCAATGATTTGGCATCTTGTCACAAAATCTCCACACTAATATTGACTCATTCCTCCTATGCATCTCATAATTTAATTATCCATCACAAAACTCTCTTCTTCGTTACTAATATCAAGTTACTTTGGGTTTATAGAGGCTACGAATTAGTATTTGGGCCAGATAGAATATCAGATGTAGCCCGTAAGTAAAGTCTATATAATTCGCTGTCGTTTTACATATTCCTTCTTAGTGTTCTTTTTTGATAAGAAAAAAAAGCAAAAAGGATTAACCCTTATCTAAACTGGGTTAAACCAAAGGTTTTTCCAAATCTAACCAATTTTTATTCTTTTAGGCAGCTCTATCCAAAAAAATATTTTTCTTCGATAATTACCCAATTAGTAAGATCTTCAAGAAATTGTTTTCGTACACTATTTTTATATTTTTCGATTAAAAAAATTTCCAATATTTTCAAATATGATCCTCTGCTACCGATACCAGAATCCACACAAGTGAAACCAAAACAATCTAACGATGTAAAGAACCTCACAATCCACGTGGACGTTCAGGATCACACATGCACTAGCTTCTGATATAAAGAGTGAAACAAAATAAAAGGAAAAAATAAATCGAAAAATGGAAAAAGTGACAAATCGGGAAAGCTGATTGGCTGAAGACGTCCATGTATTCAAGTTTCGCGGCAACACCTCTTCTCATCATATCTCTCATTTTTCTCATTCCCTAATTTCTATCTCTCTCTCTCTCCTCCTTTTTTTAAAAAAAAATAAAATAATTTTTCTTTCTTCTTCCTCAATTTTACTTCTCTCTCTAAAACCCTTCTTTCAAATTTCTCATCGATTCTCTTTTTGAAACTAAAGGGTCGAGCTTTCTCTATCTCTCTTTCGACCCACCACCGGTGGTTCAGTATCTATTCACTCTTCAAGTCACGTAATTGGTGAGTGGATCTGCTTCGATTAGGGTTTTTAAAGGGTTTTCCTCTTTCCTTTTCAAATGTTCTTCTTTCGACTCTGAAATTTTCCCCGGAAAATCTTGTATTCTCTACACTTGTGTGTTAGCTCTTCGTTTTTTTGAATCGAGTTCCGTTTCTTCTTTGCTGAGGTTTAATGGGTTTTATTTGGAAGCTCACTCGATTGAAGTTTTTTTTTTTTTTTTTTTTGAATCAGTTTCAGATTTGTGAAGTCTGCGTTTTATTTATATTTGTAGACTAGACGATTTTCGATTCGATTTTGTGTTTCTATCTAAAAATTAAACATTTTTCTTAACACATTTCCCCGAAATTTGGATTCAAGCTCCTGACTTTTTGTTCCTTTTTGTGGATGATTTTCGTGTTTCGTCACAGTGTGTAATTGATTCCTTAATTTGTTTTTTTTTTTTTGAATACCCAAAGTTAATTTCCGGTTCTGATTTTCGTTTAATTTTTCCACCCATCTCGATTACTGCAGCTATTTATCTTCCCCAACACTGCTTTTTGTCTGATCCAAGAATTGGTTAAATAAAGTGAGTAAAGTTTTGATTTTTCTTAGCTTAAATCGACCTCTTGATTGGTCCTCTGGTGAATATTGTAAGTCGTAGTTGGTACATGTCCGTATCAGTTTAAAGTGTGTCTTTTTCGCAATTGCGTTTTTGGTTTCTAACTATTTGAATATACTTGCGCAGAGAAACGTGTAAATGGCACCAGTTAGGAAGTCGAGGAGTGTGAACAAGCGTTTTACCAATGAAACTTCCCCAAGAAAAGATACTGGGAACTCGAAAAAAAATAAGCAACGTGTGAGTAAATTGGTCTTTATTTCTTGAATGTTGAATGATATGTTGCTCTCATGTATTAACTGTGTGCTTTCTTTGCTCATCGTAGAAGAAGAAATTGTCAGACAAGCTGGGACCTCAGTGGACCAGACTAGAACTTGAGCGTTTCTATGATGCTTACCGGAAGCACGGGCAGGAGTGGAGAAGGGTAAATATCTGTTTCACTCACATTTGTTAATGTGAGTTTCAATGGCATCAGAGTTCTTAAAGACTATTTTTGTATAGGTGGCTGCTGCAATTCGGAATAGTAGGTCTGTTGACATGGTGGAAGCTCTTTTTAATATGAATCGGGTATGAGTAAGGACATGCTATGTTTCGGTTTTATGTTTCGGTTTTAATTAGTATCAATGTGGCCAATTTCTTTTCCAAGCTATAATTTGAATTTTGTACAACCTACATAACTTTGCATTCATAAGATTTGCTTCTTCTTCCAGGCTTATTTATCTCTCCCCGAGGGAACTGCCTCTGTAGCTGGCCTTATTGCGATGATGACAGATCATTACAGTGTCATGGTGAGAAATCTATTTTATTAAGGCTGCCACACAAAGGATATTATGTTAAGTGACCTGCCAGTAGATGAGAAAATGAAATTTCGTGGTTGAAAATGTGGGTGGTTGGTGAAAAACCTTTAATTGTTAACGTGAGTAGACAGTAACAACAGTGACATTTAAAACTTTGAGTTTTGTGTACCCTATGTGGCCTATCTGTTGGGTCAGTTTGTATGTTTGATAAAGTTATATGGACTGATTTGTAACCCATTCGTATGGTATTTCTTCTAGGAAGGGAGTGGCAGTGAAGGAGAAGACCATGATGCTTCAGAAGTACCAAGGAAACAACAAAAGCGCAAACGTGCTAGACCTCAACTTAGCGATTCTCGGGAGGAAGTTGATATACAACATTCAATTGCTTCACCAGATGGATGCCTCACGTTTTTGAAGCAAGCACGAGCTAATGGTAAAGTGCTACATTGTGTTAACTCAGTCTCCTAAAAATTTTTCTCGTCTGAAGAAGCTAATTCAAATGATTATTATATTATGATTTAAGCAGGTTAGGAAGTTGATTACTTGTTCTGCATTGTTATTGACTTTGTATAGTCCAGGAATTAATATCCATCTGTCTAGTACCTGTAAACCAATTCGTTCAAGAATGTGTAACATTATTTCTTAGTTCATGTAGGAACTCAGCGACGTGCCACTGGAAAACGTACACCACGGGTTCCTGTACAAACTTCATTTATGAGGGATGATAGAGAAAGATCTACTCCACCAAATAAAAGAGCCAGGAAGCAATTCGATGCCAATGATGATGTAGCACATTTTTTAGCGTTAGCATTAACAGATGCGTCGAGAAGGGGAGGGTCTCCAAAAGTTTCTGAATCACCAAATAGAAGAACAGAACTTAGTGATAGCTCACCGATAAAGAGCTGGGGGAAAATGGTATCTCTCAGCTTTAGAAATTTTCAAGCGGTTATCTTTTTTATTTTTATTCTGTGTAAGCTTGCTTCATAACACTATTCAACTTTGTGCTTTTGACTAGTCGCGAACCAGAAAATCTCAATCCAAGCACTGTGAAAGCTCCATTTTCGAGGAGTGGGTGGAAAGTAGCCGAGAAAGGAAGCTTGAATCTGATAAAGATACTGCCTTGTTGATGGATACCGAAGGGGCTGGCGAAATGGAGGCTCTGCGGAAGGGGAAAAGATTCTACAAGAAAAAAGTGAAAGTCGAAGAAGCAGAAGGTAATGATTCTGATGACAATGGAGAAGCATGCAGTACCGCACAGGGGATCAGAATTAAATCACAGAGACGAAAGGCAGCTATTCAAGCCTCAAGAGGGAAATATTCACCGCGCAGCCCAACAAAAAGAGATAACAAACTTACTTCCGGAGGTAAAAACCAATAATAATGTAACTTGAAGCCTTCAATTTCAATGTTAGCCCTTTCTGTAAGAAAGTTAGATAATATTTAACATATTTTCGTTTACAAGCTCTACTGTTGTGATATTTGATTATTTATCTATTCTTCATTGTCCATTTAAACTAACTACCTTCATCTTCTGCTGAAAACATATGGGGATCTGAAACTTATTGCCATTCTTTTCCTGTGTAGGTGAATTTGATGCTCTGCAAGCATTGGCCGAATTGTCAGCTTCAATGCTTCCAGCAAATTTGATGGAGTCAGGTGAGCTTTGTGTGGTTTTGTAACTTCAGTAGACCTGAAACTTCTGATTTTTTCTACATTATTATGTCGAGTGGGTCAATTCTGCAGCTTTCACTGTTCGCATTAGGGCCTTTACCTGTCTGTATTTGTTAAATTTAATTATATTGCATTAGGTCCAGAATCATCTGCTCAGTTGAAGGAAGAAAGGACAGAATACGACATGGACGAGAAATCTAGCACTCCAGAAGCTACTTCCACAAGCAGTCATGGGGAAAAAGCAAATGCAGAACCAGATGATAGTCTCCTTCATGCAATTTCTTCGGCTGAGAATGCTTACAAGAGAAAGCCAAAACCTTCAAGGCTGGCATCAACTGATTGTGATGCTGTTCCCACAGGGAAGCTACAACCGCAAACTAGTGGCAGTTTAAGAAGAAAACGTAAACCAAAGGTTAGCAAAGTAGTTCTCTTAATCTGTGCATTTTCTTCTAGCCATCTTTTAGCTGTATATGTGAATAGTGTTCAATTTTCAGGTATTAGGGGATGAAGCTCCAGCAGATTTTAGTCAGAACAAATCCATAAACGAGAAGGTATTCTGTATGTATGTTGAATTAGTTGAAACCCGTTTTTAGTCCTATATTGCTTCTTTGTACATCAAAATTTTAACCTTAATTGAACTCTGTGATCTCTGTTTTCTATCCTTTGAAACAAGTTCGAGATCTTTAAAAAAAATTGCATATCGAGTATTCAAGTTTGTGCTTCTGAAGAAAACATTACCTCATATGATTTGGTTTATTGTGTTGCAGGAATCACCTCAAGATGAGAATAATATACACTCTTTGGCTAGAACAAAACGCGCTGGTCAAGGTCCAGCTCAGTCAAAACAGTTGAAAATTGTTAAGGCGTTGGAGGAATCTACTACAACAAGTGATAAGAAAAGACCTGTGACGGATATAGTAGCGTCACCTAAACAAGTTTCTGATTCAGGTCCAACCAGTTTATCGCAGAAACCTCCAAGCAGGCGTAAGAAGAGTCTGAAGAAAAGCTTACAAGAAAGGGCTAAATCTTCTGAAACCATTCTTAAAGCTTCACGTAGTTCCAGATCTCTCACAGAACAGGAGTCGTTATTAAAGGTGGAGCCTCTAACTTCACTTCTCTTACACACATTCAGTATCTGGTACATCTATATATCTGTTTATTCCAATTTCAGGATAAGCTTTCTACTTCCCTGTCGTTTCCCTGGGCACGTCGAAGGTGCATATTTGAATGGTTTTATAGTGCTATCGACCACCCCTGGTTTTCAAAGATGGAGTTTGTCGATTATCTAAATCACGTTGGGCTTGGTCACATTCCAAGACTTACTCGTCTTGAATGGAGCGTGATTAAAAGGTTTGTTCAAGTTATGTTATTGGATGCTGCCAGAGAATGTAGGTATATTATAAAAAAAAATTCGTTTTTTGCAGTTCTCTTGGTAGACCCCGAAGATTCTCTGAGAGATTTTTACAGGAAGAGCGGGAGAAACTTAAACAGTACCGCGAATCTGTACGAAAGCATTATACAGAGCTTCGAACGGGTGCTAGGGAAGGGCTTCCTACAGATCTGGCTCGGCCATTATCAGTTGGGAACAGAGTCATTGCCATCCATCCCAAAACACGGGAGATTCATGATGGCAAAATTCTCACCGTTGACCATAACAAATGCAACGTTCTGTTCGATGACTTGGGCGTAGAGTTGGTTATGGTAATTCGAATACAATACCAGTTTCATTCACACAACCCAACTGTTATGATTTATAGATAAAATAAGGTCCCAGTCGTTTGATCATCTCCTTTTATGACAGGACATTGATTGCATGCCTTCAAATCCAGTGGAATACATGCCAGAGGGTCTAAGGAGGCAAATTGATAGGTGCTTGTCTATGAAGAAAGAACCACAGCTAAGCGGGAATTCAAACCTTGGTGTGTCTGTGATATTCCCTCCTTGCGGACTTGAAAATGTCAGCTTTTCCATGAATCCTCCTCTGAATCAGGTAGGGAAATATGGACGTTTAACTAGTTCTGTCAAAGCCTATAAACCTTCTTAGATCTTCCTGTACATGTTCATGTAAATTTTATGCCTAACCCATAAATTCTCTACAGGGTGATATGATTGCTCCCATTCTGCATGGTAAAGTATCAACAAACACTAGTAGTCCACAGCAGACTAATCATTCATATATCACAACTTATAACAAAGCAAGAGAAGCTGAGATTCAACGAGCACTTGCGCTACAGCATGCTTTAGATGAAAAGGTAATGGATTACTGATGTTCTATTTTTCATATCGGTAGATATTGTTAATATGTTTTAGAAATCGAATGGGATCATAAATGGACCTTTGAGGGCCCATGGAAATCCTGCCTTCTGACTAATAAACTTATTCTTGTGCTGTGTGACAGGAAATGGAGCCAGAGATGCTAGAAATTGTTAAGGGTTCAAAAACAAGAGCGCAAGCAATGGTGGATGCAGCTATAAAGGTATCGATTTATCCGCTTTCCTATATTCTCTAACATACATATGTTTTGCTAAGTTATGGTCACTCTACGGTTTCTAGGCTGCATCATCTGTGAAGGAAGGAGAAGATGTGAACAAAATGATCCAAGAAGCCTTAGAGTTGATTGGCAAAAATCAGCTATTACGCGGCTCCAGGGTCAAACATCACGAGCATGTAAATGGCAGCATAGAGCATCATCACAACCCATCTCCTTCAGAGGCATCAGAGCCTGTGGCTAACAATGATTTTAACTCACAAGATGGTTCGGAGAAAAACGAAGCTCAAATGCCTTCAGAGCTAATCACCTCCTGTGTTGCCACTTGGCTCATGATTCAGGTACTTAGGATTAGGAAATTGCGTAGAAGGATTGCGTACCCAACGAGATAATCTGGAGGCCATTATGAATCTATAATACTAAGTTTAGAGTTGTGTTTGGTACTAAACCGAAGCTTTAGTAATCTTTATCTTTTTCTGGTTATTGAAATTAGCTAGGGAAGTTTAACATCTTTGCGTAGATCCGCGTGTGCCAAATGCCACTTAACCTAGGACTTGGATTGATCATTTATCCTAAATCTTAAACAGACTGCAGCTTCATAGTAATACATCGAACTTTACTTCTCGTGACTCTCGCAGATGTGCACGGAGAGACAGTACCCTCCAGCTGATGTCGCACAGCTTATAGACGTAGCAGTCACAAGCTTGCAGCCACGATGCCCCCAGAACCTACCGATCTACAGAGAAATCCAAACAAGCATGGGACGGATCAAGACTCAAATCATGTCCCTTGTACCAACTTGAAGAGGAGCCAACTCATTTGGGTTGGTTTTCTTTTGTTTTGAATCTTCTTTAGGTAAGTCTAGTCTCCTTTTAACTAGAGTAGATGATGACATCTTCACCTGAGAAAATGGTGTTAAAAGTTCACGGATTCAAGATAGCTTGACCAGAGGTATTTTAGTTGCTTAACAAGCTTTTGGCTTATTCAGGGGCTTTTGGTAGTGAACCATTGGTTCTGTAACTTAAACTGATGTTTATGCTCATATTATAATTCCCCATCAATGTCGTTCAGAAATCGCTAAAATGCCCATTTTTCCTACTTTTTGGCCACTACTTTCAAGTAAAGTGAAACAGAGCTGAAAATCTCTGTTGTATTCAAACTAAGACAAGGATTAGCCAATCAAATGAGTAAGAATGTCAATTACAAACATTGAAGCTTAAACTTAATAATGTAATCCTTAAATTGCACGAGGAGGTTTCTCGAGCAATGCAGAGAGATAAACCTCATCCTTTGATTTAGGTGAAACAGCCCACTTGTGTTTCTTGTACCGAAATTGCAGGAACATGTACATATAATCATCAAGATCCTTCTTTTTACAGAAGAATCTATCAATCCACAGTAACCCACCCGGTCTCAGCACTCGGTCCCAATCATATAACACGAAATCCATCAGAAGAAGATCGATCCAACCATCCATTAACCCGGCAGTGTGAATCATATCCATTGTGTTATCGAAGAACGGTAGCCTCTGGTTCAAAGATAAGTACAATGGGATCAAACCTCTCAAAGCAATCATCTCATTGAAAGGAGCTCCCAAATTCAAAGCAGTTGTGACAATAGTCACATTCTTCTCTCTCATTCTTGCTGCAAATGTCCCTGTCCCAACACCATAATCCAGTCCAAGCCTAATCTCACCTGGCTTCACTCTCAGAACATCCTCAATCATGAAGTCAACTAACAAAGTACTGTTCTTGACCCATTTATCACCCTCTTTCTCCATTTCAAAACAACCACTGCATTTCGTGTAACCCCTTTTCGGGTTCTTGCTTGATAAACACGCGAAATTCCTGCATTGGTAATTTCCCCATCTTACATTTCTATCATCAGGAAGCTTCCACAAAGACTCGTTGATCGGATAAGGTTTCTGGTAAGTCATCGATGCTCTTGTCAAGCATCGTCTTCTAGGTAATGGATCACACCCGTTAAGCATCAGCTTCTGTGCTAAGTTCCAATCATCATCGCAATACGCTCCAACGTCATAATCCATATACTTCTCTAGCTCTATCTTCATCAACGCACAAGCATGACCAATAGTGTTGTAAACTCTCTCTGTTCCAAACATGTTTATCTTCCCAACCCGATTCTCCTTGGGTGTAATGTACTGCCTTATCTCCTCAATGAGAAACTTATTGATCAAAGGCTCTTCCTTTTCCGTCGAGTTTCTGATTCCTTCGGGTTTTGGTAACCGGATTTGCCTTAATCCGATATGAGCATAATAAAATGGCTTCATCACTTCATCTTCAAGAAACTTCTTCATCTCCTTTTTGCTTCCGTCTTTGCTCTTCTCCATCTCTTTTACCGTCTTCTCAAGCTTCTCGTACAAGTTGTCCATCTTTTCTAGTACTTCATCAACGCGATCATGTAGCGCCTTTATGTCGAATCCTTCGTTGCTGACTTCTTTGATTGTGTAGATATTGTTGCAAACGTCTTCGTTGTGCAAGAAGTAACCAGCGGAATGGAATCGGAAGAGACATGAGAGGCTCACAGTGATCACCAGTAATCCCAAGATTACTTGTAATCCTGCCATTAGTCTTCCTAATCGCCATCTCGGTAAACATGCTCTTCCCATTTCCTCTTCTTGACCAAAAATATATTATCTTTCAGTTATTGGTTCTAATCTTGACATAAGAAAACAGAGGAAAGTGTCATGCTTCAGAGAATATGAAAAAACAGAGGAAAATGTGAATCTTAGCTCAAATTACATCGATTTTCCTGGTAACTAAACAGAGAAAAACGGTCCTACGGCCAAATTTTCTATCTAACAATATCAGAGACAATGTTGAAAAAGTGATTGGTGAAAGAAAAACATTATTACCAGAGAAGAAGAGACGTTCCTTGATGTTTTGATGGAAACCTTTCGTCTCTGGTTTCTCGAGGAAAAGTCTAAGAGACTCATGAGATTGTTTTTCAACCTCAAAGTTAGAACGCTATTTGAATTAGAGATCCGAGAGCTGCGGAGGAAAAGTGTGTGTTTTGTGTCTGCTTGAAGAATGAAGGAGCTGGAGATACTTAAAGCTGAAGCCTAAAGCTGACTTATTGTGACGAGTTTTAGGACAAAATCCACTAACTCAGTCTCTTCTCACCAACGTGCCTAATTCCTTAATTTTCGGTCTTTGAATATAATTCAAAAGTCAACGATAAGTGATAAGTATATAATATACCAACACATGCATACACTTACATAGTTACATAGAGCACTTTTAATATATGCGAGAGAGAGAATTAATTATATAAGAGCATAATTAATCTCCTAAAGTTATCAAGAAATTTGCTTTGCTATAGTGGTAAACAAACTAACAATATCATATTCATAATAATAATAATGCACCTTTCAAACTGAAGAAGACATTCTCGGATAACGCAAAAAAAGCTTAACCGTTGGGCCGGTTATGACCGGTTTACTTCCCCGAAGAAGTTTGGTCTTCTAGGACTGGATCCGATACTTTTTCTGGTTGCTAACCATTGCGCCGGAATCTATTTTCTTGGTCAAACCGGACCAAAAGTCTTGTACTTAACCTTATATATACATACATCATGACGATGGAAAACAAAAAATAACAATCATGACGAATTGACGATGAGTGATTGAGTGATGCGATGATTAGGTGGGAGTTCAATACGTCTTTTAATTTGAGTTCAATACGTCTTTTCTTCCCAATCTTACCTATTAATTAGACCTTTTCTTTTTTGGGGGCGTCTTGGTTCAATGAATCAAATGTCGTTTTGTGGGCTATATTTTATCTAACGTCCAAGTAACTACAATTGATTTTTTTTTTTTGACGCAACTACAATTTGATTAGCGACTTTAGTTTATATTGAACCTATCGACATCATAAACCATCACTAAATTTAATTCAAGACACTGATTAACAAGAGCCACACCCACATGTGTACTATGCTTTCGTGATCGTCTCGAACTAAGATGACGTGTCCGTTCTTCTCTCCTTTTATTTTTTTCTTCTTTACGAAAAAATGATTAAACCTTTTTATATATTCCACTTCAACGGTTTTCTCATTGATGTCTCTGTCTTATAGTCAATAAATTCGAAACAGAAGAAAATGGCAACCGACGATTTTAGGCTAACGGCCTTATTGTTGGGGGAATCTTATTCAGATGAATGAATTAAATACCATATAACCAACGCAAACCGGATCTTTAAACCAGAAAAAAATAACCAAAATGTGATAAACCGTACGCTGGTTGATACAAACAATGAACATGAATTCTTAGCAAAAAAAAAAAAAAACAATGAACATGAACCTAGACTCAATAAAAACCAGATGCATCTACATCACACAACATAGCATGATATTTCTTTCCATCTTTGTGGTTAACCAATCCTAGCTATTATACTAGCTATAGTCTATATATCATAGGGAAGAGAAAGAAAAAACATTCTACTTCACGCAAATATTGCTCTCTTTGTTCTTGTTCTTAATTAGGGGTTGATTGAAGAATATGGAAGGAGAGAAAAATATGGAGAAAGGATTATTATTGGCAAAAAAGGAAGAGACTGCAAACACAACTCCACTCCTTATCTTCTCCACCTTCATCATTGTCTCTGCCTCCTTCACCTTTGGCGCTGCCGTATGTACCCATCTCTCTCTTTATCTCTATCTATCTCTCTATGCACTCTCATATAGATGTTCTTATTAATTAGAACCAAAGTCGGATCTGGTCCAGAGCTAAGCAAAAGATTCAAGCCACCAACTTCTTTGCTTTAGCATTAATGTTATATACTAAACTTTGTTATCTTTTATTACAAAATTCTTGTTTAGCAATTATTTTAACGGAGATAAAGAAAACCATGATTTCAGGCCTCAGATTTGTAATACTTAATTGTCGAATAAAAATAAAGTTTATATATATTAACAAAAAAATGAAAAAGGTAATAATATAGTATCTATAATATATATTATCTCTTCATATCTTCAATCTTGTGGACCTCGAAAATGTTGGATTGGTCGTGCTAGCTATAACCATATCTTATCTCGACATCTCTTTTAAATTTCAAGTTTCTAACCACAGTAAAGGTTAAAAAAAATTCAAGTAATTGTATTAAAATAAGAGTTTGTAAATTAATCATTTATATAGAGTTCAATAAAAGAGAAAAAAGAAAGAACAACTTAATTATTTCTATCATCTTATGGTTCACAGATAGGTTATACTGCAGATACAATGTCCTCCATTATGTCAGACTTGGATCTTTCTCTCGCACAAGTAAGTCCAACTTTCATTACATTTTATTTAGTTACAATTTTTTCAATCAATTCTTCCAATTTTACAAGTGGATGGATACACGCAAACGTATTTTGTTGAAACTACTAGTTACATCGATTTTTTTTTTTGCTTTCTATCAAATGAAAAATTATTTAGTGGTAACAAAATAGAAAAAGTTGACTACTGTACGAGCTCATATTTTTACAGAGATGACTATGTAATTTTAATTTTAATTTGTTAAAAACTATTTTTACAGTTTTCACTGTTTGGTTCGTTGTCGACGTTTGGAGGAATGATCGGTGCAATATTCAGCGCCAAAGCTGCAGCTGCCTTCGGTCATAAAATGGTAAGTATCCATTATTCTTAAAATCACCCTTATGTTTATTTTATTTTGTCATATGCCCCGAAAATATTATAAAGTAAATTTCTACACCCTCGTTTGTTTCTTTCTCTTACAATATTTCTTAGACGTTGTGGGTGGCTGATCTATTCTGCATAACTGGTTGGCTTGCAATTGCACTAGCTAAGGTTCCATCCATAACTCATATTCTTCTTTATTTTTGCAAGTTTAACAAAATGGAATATTTTATCACCGTTTTAGTAACTGCAATATAGATAAAACATGATTTTCTTATTTAAAATTTCTTTTGACACACACAGAATATTATTTGGCTTGACATGGGGCGATTTTTGGTGGGAATTGGAGTTGGTCTCATTAGCTACGTGGTAAAGCTTTTTCTTTGAAAGATGATAAAAAAAAAAAAACAATTATCGTCGTAACCATAAATATTCCTAATTTTCTTGGATTGAAAATTGTATAGGTTCCTGTATATATTGCAGAAATAACACCCAAGCACGTAAGAGGGGCTTTTACATTCAGCAATCAGGTGATCTTACCTATTTAAACTCGAAGTTTAGACATATATAATTATCATTTATACATGAATTTGACTTATAATTCTAACATCAATACTTCACAGCTTTTGCAAAACTGTGGAGTTGCAGTCGTATATTACTTTGGAAATTTCTTGTCATGGAGAACTTTAGCCATAATCGGTGATTCATTCCCATCAACTATCCGTTTTTTTCAAGATTCATTATTTCTCCTGATTAATTATTTTATTTGCCTAAACTAAAATATATATCTGATTAACCAGGTAGTATTCCATGTTGGATACAAGTTATTGGTTTGTTCTTCATACCTGAGTCTCCAAGATGGCTGGTTAGTCATATAAATCAATCGTGAAAAACTTATATATATGAACATGATAGTTGTAAATAAATAATAACATATACTGTATGAACATAATATTTACAGGCGAAAAAAGGTCGTGATAAAGAATGCGAAGAAGTTCTTCAAAAGTTAAGAGGAAGAAGATATGATATTGTGCCTGAAGCTTGCGAAATCAAGGTACTCACAAGTATAAATCATCAGTCCCATAACATAGATGTTTAGCATATTTTTAAATCACTTGTAGTACTCTTGTAGATCATTCATTCACCAAAAAAGAAATTAAGAAAGGAAAAAAAAAACTAGTCCTAAGCAAAAATTCTCACTTACATTTGTTTTAAATTTTGTAGATTTCAGTTGAAGTTTCGAAGCAAAATTCGAATATCAACATTCGTAGTCTTTTCAAAAAGAGATATGCTCATCAACTTACAGTAAGTAAAAAGAAGGGTTTATTCATTCATGAAATATATTCAAGTGATCTTGATATAATAACTAAATAATAAATGATTTGATTTATTTGGATTCGGTTGATTATGTTTAATTAGATCGGTATAGGGTTGATGCTTCTGCAACAGTTATGTGGAACTGCAGGAATAAGTTCTTACGGAAGCACTCTATTTAAACTTGCCGGTAATCAGATTTGTTTACTATTTTATTATCATGTAATTAAATTGTTTTAAATTTAGTTAGGAAAAAAAGAACTAACGGTTTTATTTTCTAGGGTTTCCTGCTCGGATTGGGATGATGGTGTTGTCTCTTATCGTCGTACGTAAAAATTATCAGATTTTTCTATATTAAATGCAATTTGACAAAAATAAAAACAAAAACAATGTTTGCATTTATTGTATACTCATATACTAACCCCAATTTCTTATTAATGATGATGCATAGGTACCAAAATCTTTAATGGGTCTAATCCTCGTGGATCGATGGGGGAGACGCCCACTTCTTATGGTTAGAATTTCTAAACTTTTTAGGTCGAGTCTTTTTCGTTGTATTAATTGCGAATTTTCCTGTATTTGATTTAGGTATTTATGAATCTATGATGGTTAAAGTGAATTATTCATGGCACCATTACAATTACAATTAAGTTATAATTTAATTTTAGGGGTTAGATATAACATAAATTGAATATATCGAATTTGCAGACTTCAGCGTTTGGGTTATGTTTAAGCTGTATCACATTGGCAGTAGCGTTTGGAGTTAAAGATGTCCCGGGGATTGGAAAAATTACTCCAATTTTCTGTTTCATTGGAATATTGGTAAGTTTTTCACTATTTCATTTTCAGTCTAATTTAGAATCTGTAAATTACTAAATTCTATCAAACCATATTTTTACACAACTTTCAGATGTGTTATTCGGTTTCATTAATATCTCGATATATATATATAGGCAACCATTTGATCAAATGTGAAAGTCAAACTCACAAAAATTCAGAGATATGCATAATTGAATTATTATTTTTTTGGTATTATGCATAATTGAATTATTGTTAATTGTTTTCAAAATGTGACAAGCTATTAACAATTTATAATTCGAACAGTCGTTTACGATGATGTTCGCAATTGGAATGGGGGCGTTACCATGGATTATAATGTCTGAGGTATGCACATATGAGCAAATATATTCTTTTACAAAAAAAAAAATTCGGATTATAATAATTTGACCCCAATGGTCATTTGTTATTATTGCATGCATGTTTATGTTAATTACTTTATTGGCAGATATTTCCAATGGATATAAAGGTATTAGCTGGGAGTTTAGTGACCATAGCAAATTGGTTCACTGGTTGGATCGCCAACTACGGTTTCAATTTTATGTTGGTTTGGAGCCCAAGCGGTGAGTAACATCAAACATATTACACATATTATCACTGCCTAGGCATGCATGCAAGTCTTTTGTTTAAAATCTTTCATGCATGCAAGTACACATCTAGAGTTTTTCTTTTATATGCTTTTTCTTTTAAAGGATGTTAATTAATTTTTTTTCTTTTACATGTATTTTTTTTTTGTTTAATCGTGTAAAAAAATAAATAGC